GGCCAAGGAGCCCCAAGTGGAATACTGGTGCATGTGTTGCCCCTTCCTGGAAGCTAGTATACGTGCCACCCTCCATGCCCAGGAGGATATGACCAACCATGGCAGGCCATAGGGTCCAGAACATGGGGACAGAGAATGGAACACTTCCCTTCCAGGTATCTGGCCCCTTCCAGGAAACATCAGTGCTAGAGGGGGTGAAAGGAACTTGCCTGATTAAGGTCTGGCTGGGGGATGCTCCCTCTCTGATCTGTATTTTTCCTTACCCTCCCCGCAAATGAAGATCATGACAGTATGGTCAAGTATCAATGCAAGAGGAGTGTGGGCCTGCCCAGGGAGAGGAGAGATTTAGTCTCAGGCCCTCTCATCCTTCTATTCCCAGCTCATATGTCTTATCTCCTCCTCTGGAAAGCCTGTTCTGATAGGGCCCTTCTCCCCATTTTTCACCCATAGCATTTGTCCAGACTCTGATTTTACTATGTTCCTTTTTCATTTTTTGTTTTGTTTTGTTGGAATACTGGGTATTAAACTCAGGGACTTGTGCATACTAAGCAAGTACCCTACTATTACACTACATTCCCAGTCTATTTTATTTTGAGACAAAGTCTCACTAAGTTGCTCAGGCTGGCCTCAAACTTACGATCCTCTTGCTTCAGCCTCCATTATAGCCAGGATTACATGTGTGTGCCATGATACCCAACTTACTGTGTTCCTTTGTGATATTTATATTTAACCTTTGTGTGCTCCTTGGACTGGCCGCTGAAGAGCAGAGGGCCTGTTTGCCTCTATCTTCTTCAGTCATGTACTTACGGAGTCCCTGACATGTACCTGGTACTACATTAGAGACTAAAGAGACAGCAGAGAATAGGCAGAAAACACACTGAAGCAAAGATAAGGGACGTGGTGTGGAAAGCTGCAGCTGCTGGGGCTCCAGGGGTTGGGAAGTTTAAATCCTTCCTGTGGGCCTCCATGACAGAGCTTGTGCCCTTCCCCAAAGCCAGGCAACTTCTACCAAGCTCAGGGCTTTAGTAGCAGAGCAGAACATGTGTCTACATAATAGAAAGGCCTCTAACATGGGAGTTTTCAAAATTGTTTCAAAGTGAACATGTTTATTAAAAATCAAAGTCCTCCTTGGAACACTAATGATTGAATCTGAGAGTGTCTCTCTTTCAGTTCCCAACAACATATCTGCTCCCCACAGAACTGTAGAATTTCATAGGAATACCACAGTGGTATTACAAGAATCCTAGAGCCTTAAGGAACCCAGTTTTTTTGTTTTGTTTTGTTTTGTTTTTGGTGCTGGGGATTGAACCCAGGGCCTCGTGCATGGAAGGCAAACACTCTACCAACTGAGCTATATCCTCAGCCCAGGAATCCAGTTTTAAAGTCACTCATGAGATCTGGGGAGATAGTTAAGTGGTAGAGTGCTTGCCTAGTGCTTGTCAAGTCCTGGGTTCAATCCCCAGCACCAAACACAAGAAGGAGGAAGGAGGGAATAAATGAAGAGAAATAGGGAAGGTGGAGGGGGGGAACTGCTAATGTCATACATCCCTTTCATTTTATAAGTGAGAAATCTCAGTCCAAAGAAAACAGTAACATGGTGAGCTAATGGCAGTCCTCCTGTTTCCTAATCTGTGATTCTCATATATTGGGTATGGTAATGTGCAGGGCTTATTCAGGGACTTAGTAGAGACCAAGGAAGATATGGCCCCTGCTCTTCCCAAGTTCAGATTTGATAAGGATGATGGGCAGGTCATCGGATAATCACTAGGCAACACAATAAGTGCAGGAATGACTGAAACCCAGCACTGGGGAAACCCTGCTTTGCTCATCTATTCAATCACCTTCCAGAATACCTTTGATATGCCACAGGGTGTGCCAACCTAGATAGCTGCCAGATGGTAGCCTTTGGGAACTCAGAGATTCGTCCCAGAGTCCTCTCCCTTGGTACCAGCTTGCCCTCCTGACCTGACAATTTGAGGCCCCATTTAAGGCCATAGCAGGACTGCAGGCTGTGGAACCCCACCCACCACCCTGAAATACAATCCAACTCTGCAATAGTCATCCAAGTGCCTTGGAAAGCCACTTGCTCCCACCTAGCCTCAGATCCCCCTCTGTAAAACAGGGATTTGGTGAGGAGTCCATGAAAGCAGACCTCTCTGGAGCTACCACATCCAGAGGCCAAGCATCAATTCAAGGCTAAACCCATCCCTGCCCCTCACCTGCTTTGCCCACCCTCACTCCACATCCTACTCAATTTCAACTCTCAAGATGAAGTCATAATTCCTAGTTCTTATTACTTACACTGACCATATTTCCTATGGGTTCAGGGGAACCTGATTTGAAAAATTTGGGTTTGGGGCTGGAGATGTGGCTCAAGCGGTAGCGCACTCGCCTGGCATGCGTGCGGCCCGGGTTCAATCCTCAGCACCACATACAAACAAAGATGTTATGTCCGCCGAATACTAAAAAATAAATA